ATTTACCTTCCACCCCTACTGCATTTATGAACTATTCAATAAAAAATGTTTTTGTTTTAGAAATAATGTTCTTTGTAATTCCAAGTGTCATTTTAGTAATCCTTGTTGTGACAAATGATTTTCTCGTACGTTTCCATAAATACCATTTATACGCTGCATAAATTAGATAAATTGCTTCTTATTCATTCTAATTGTCTATCATTAGTTTATTTATAGAATACCTAGTTATTTCATTTTAGATCATATGTTTATTTTACACTTTAACTGTCCCTCATTAGTTAATTTATAGAATACCTAGTTATTTCATAGAATAACTAGTTAAAGTGTCAAATTAATAACATATTACACACTTTAACGGACACGGTCAGTTATTTCATGGAATAACTAGGTATTATATGAAATAGCTGCATCATATACTTTAACGGTAACATATATATAGAGAGAGAAAGAGCATAATAAATAAATTACAAAAACGAAGAAAATTAAAAACAATAAGTTTTATTTACTGCGCATAAACTGCAAGTAAATAAAACTCATAAAATAAGTTCAAACTGTAGAAAAAACATGGAGAAAATAACAGTAAAATGAAAAAGGAAAAATAATAATTTTAAAAAAAATCTGAAAAAAAGCAGTAAAAAAAATTTATAAAAATCCGGAAAATAAAGAGATATAATCTTTTTATCAGCTACAACGATTATATCCTACTTGATATATTTTGCTTTGGCTATATTGATACAATATTAGATAGTACTCCTTTTTGCGGATATAATCGTGTGAGCTGATGCAAAATAATATCTTTTATTTTCCGGATTTTTATAATTTTTTTTTCTTTTTCCCTTTTTTCATTGTAATTTTTTCCATGTTTTCTCTACATATTGAACTTTTATATATAATATATATATATAGATACACATATATGATGAAATATTGCCTTTGTATAGAAAAAATGTCATTCGGAACCTTTTTTTAGAATTTTCACGGAAAGGAATTTTGTCTTATTGATATTTTGTAGATTACAACAGTTAAGGAATGTTATGAACCTTTAAAAGGACATTCTCATTTTATGCCTTTATTTATCCCTTAGGAACGCCTTCTTTCAATTTATAGAGAAGAAATACCTAGTGAGTCTCATAAAAATTTCCTTAATAAGTCTCCAAAAGATAGGCTTCGTTATGTCCCCAGCTTTGGACCTTTTCACAAAGACAATAATATGGTAAGTATTGATAAGTTTTTAATTGACAATTCTCCTACTTGACTCTATAAACTGGAGCCATCTCACATAGTTTCTCTTCTTTCTCTATTGAAGTCTATCAGGTGCACAATACTTCCATTAAGTCACGTTTAATGTTTTTAATGTACAATGCCCTAGAAAGAAAGAAAAGCGAATCAACCTGAATAACTTTTGACATAATGATTAGATTTCCAAGTACTGGAACTTAAACTTAATAGTGACCTCAAATGTGCTAAATATTTTGCGTGGATCATATTTTATAAAATCAGACACAAAAACCTATTGTTTTGGAATTAACGTACCTTTTATTTAACTGTTTTAGGTTTCTGATCCCCAAAAAAGCAGGGGTCGCCACAATTAGTTTGATCAGAACAGCGGCCGAAAGTGTTGAACCCTTAAAGTTATTTATGCATTTTGTATATTTCATAATGCCCATTATGATTGAACAATAATAGTAATTGGATGTGTACTTTCCTTAATGAAAGAATATAAATCAATTCATTCAAAAATTATCTAGAATTTTCCACCCTCTGAAATTGAACCGAAAAATCTCTCGATTTTTTTATGATGGCTAATATAATCAAGAAAAGAGTTCTTTGTCAGAAACTAGTTATTTTATCATTTCGTGTTAAGTTTTTGAAAATTATTTTGCATTTTTTTATTGTATATAGTGCTTAAAAATATATTTTGAATGCTTTAAAGATGCTTATTATTTGTTGAGAGATTTGGCTATACACCCTGATTATTCTACTAAGAATTATTTATTAACCAAAAATTCATGATTATAGTTTTTTTTTCTTTGTATAAGACTTGTTTTGGCCTTTGCTAATGGTGGAGGTCTGTTATACAGTAAAATCTATTATCTGGATTTACGGAAGTCCCACCCATTCTGGGTGCAAGACTTTCCACTCCTTCAAGTCATTAAGATTAAATTAAATGAGCAATGCCCTGTTACAGAATCACGGTGATATTGTTACAGAGTTCTTGCAGAAAGATTTTTCTTTTGAAAAGTGAAAATATTTTGTCTTTATTTCTGCAGAAATTTACACGTAACATTTGAACATTTAGATAATCACTTTTTGAAACCCTCAATTTACTCTGATGGTACAGTACAGAACCCGTTATCCGGAAATCAGAAAACCGGAAAACCAAAAAACCGGAACGAAAATCGATAAATTTTCCCACCATTATAAAAAAAAAAAATTTTTTTCCTTATAAAATTTTAGGATTTTTCGTTCTTTTTTGAAAGATGTTTACCATACCATCATTTTGGAAATAATTATTAGTGTATTGCTCCATCGTTTTTTCCACTTTTTAAGATCATTTCCAAAAAAAAATTTTTTTTAGTTGTGTTTAACAATGAAAAAACGGCTTTTTGTAGCGATTCAGAAAACCGGAAAAATCAGTTATCCGGAATAGCGATGGTCCCGATCGTTCCGGATAATCGGTTCCCTACTGTATTGTAAATCGATGTAAAGTTTTGATTGTACGATATTATTTATTACAGCAACCTAATCTCGAAACGAAGCGAGCATTTGAATAATCCGATTTGCGTGATTTCGTCGTTTATCTTTTTTGAAGGGTGCAATTACTACTATAGATTTCATGATTTTTAATTACTTTTTTATTGTGATGATTATTTACAAAATCCAAGGAAGGAAATAATTTGTGCACCCCTCCCCCTAACAAAATGCAAGAATATCACTCAGAATATTAGAATAAAAAATTATTGCATGCTCAATTAAAAAATAAAATATGTAGTTTTTTAGTAAACACAGTGCTTTTGTTACTTTAAAGTAGTAACATATATGTTTGCTGTAAAGTGTTCTCTTCGTTTTACTTTATTTATTTTATTATTACAATTATTGCTATGCTTCTGTATGTTGTTTTTCTTTCATTGCGTATTTTATTTTTTTTGCAGGATAGAATATTCAATTATCTTGAAAATTTATTTGAAACAAATGCAGGGGAGGAACCTTTTAAAAATTCATATATTTATGAAGTATGGATTCCTGAGGTAAAAACTTTTATTACTCTAATTTATTTTTTAAATTATTCAGTGTCTAATTATATTTTTTAATGTTTTGAAGATAAGTATTGCTAATTTGAAATTTCAATTAAAGTTGATGTTGTTTTAATAATAATCCACAGCATAAGAGTCTTAATTAAATAGTCCTTGTTTATTTTATTTTTTTAATATCTTGAGAATAAGCATTGTTTCTAAAGAGCTTCTGTTAAAATTAATTTTTTTAAGTAACAGTCAATTAAGTTATTCTTTAGATGAAATTATTAATTTTTTATTTGTTATTTTTTAAAATTTTGAAAATAGGCATTGCTAAAAGCAAATTTCTGTTTAAATTAATGTTATTTTAATGACATTTCATAGTTTGCCCCCTTATTCCACTGAATTGTACTCCTCGATTCACATTTTTTGTACCCCTTCAATCTTTATATGAATTCTGGCGGTTTCTGTAATACGACTGTAACATTAGATCCAGTGGTTGGAAGTAGCACACTGTAAGTAGTACTAGCAAGTAGTAGAAACTACTGTAATCGCTACTTTTTTTGTATTTAGTAGTGTAGTATTTACTACTTCTTTAAAATAATTTTTTAACTCACATTCTGATGTTAGAAAACAACATTATGATTCCTGTGTTTCTGATGAATCAGGAAACATACTTTTTAAAAAAAGAAAAACAATCGAGGAGAAACCAGTACCTTGATCGAATTTTGTTTTCGTACCTTAGAGTCCTTAATTAAATTATTCTTTCTTTTTTTTTTTGGAATAAGCATTGCTAGTAGCAAATTTATGTTCAAATCAATGTTGTTTCAATAACATTCCATAGTATACTCTCTTGATCAACATTTTAAAAAATAATTTCAAATTTTTCTTTTATAAAAATGGTAACTTCTAGTTAAAATCTTTTTTCCCCCTCTAGTTGGACTATAATGAACAGCATATTTATTCTCTATAAGAAAATCGTCTTTCTTTTCCATTGAATTAAAGATTTAAAAAAATTCCAAACCACCCAATTCAATTCCCAAAGACTTTCTGGTATTTTCTTTCGTTTTTTTGTACAAAAAATAGTTTGTATTTTAAATTTTTAGAGGAGTTTTTTTATAGAACCATTTATTATATTTTTGAAAGGTTTTCAAAATTGTTTTATTCACTTCTATATGTTCCATAACACAATTATGTTTACCAAAGACTTTATTTCCCGCTTTTTGTGGAACTATTTATCTTATTTCCCAAAGATTTGGTAAAAAGTTTTCTTCGTTCATACTTTAATAAAAATCATTGCCATTGTTTTGTAAAATCTGTAAAATTTTTGTCTTCATAAGCTTTAAAAATTATGCATTTTCTTGTCTAAACAATTAAAAATTTTTGTTTTCTCAAATTTTGAATGATGCATACAGTTGCAGTCATGGATTGCATTTCTTATTGAAATGAAATTTATGGGTGAGAGTTAAACAAAAATATGAATAGAACAGAAATCCTGTTGAAAACTGTTTATAAATAGGCAGTAAAGTTATGGAATGCCTATCATTATTCTATATCCATGTTAATCATTTAATAAGGCATAATTATCTTCAATAGATGTATGAGAAGTGCTTAATATTTTGAAATCAACTTTACAGCAAAGTAATATTGAAAAGTAAAAACTTTTAAACCCTACGGAATTTTTAATTTCAAATTTGTCTAATCCGGTAAATACAGTCAGACTTCTATTGAACGAACTTCCATTTTGCGAGAAGAAATTTTTTTTTAGAGAAACCAAGAACATTTTAGAAATTTCTTCATAAAATGACTTCCAAATCGCGAAGTAAATTTTCTATTTAACGAACTTTTCATTGCGTTCCTCTTTCCCTATTTCCCAAAATATTTCAGAACATTTTCAAACTTGTTAATGCATTCTATAAGGAAAATTTATTTTCGAAGCCACTTAAATTTTAGAGAAAGCAGTAAAATCCCTTTTCCTCTTTCTTTGCATTTCAATCTAAAACCTCAGACAAAACTGATTTTTTTTCAGCATCAATTAAACTTAAGAAAGCATGTAGTAATGTATATTTAAAATTAGTTTCATATTAAATATATCTATAATTTTATACCTACATTTATCTTTTTTTTAGTTGAAAATGTATGTAGCCTGATAGTGTAACACTGGATAATGTTTGTGCTCTATTCTTGCTTTCCATGCAGAATTCTTTTATGGTTAAGATTTATAAAATAAATAGTAGATACTAATTTACAAGATAATGGCTTATCAATTGCTATTTTAATTACGTGTAGGGTTTATGAATTTAAAACCTGTTTTGTGTTGTTTAAGTGTTTCAAAAGGTGATTTTCTATTTAACGTATTTTCCATATAACGAACTTATTATCGGGATTTAGCGACTTTGTTAAATAGAGGTTTGAGTGTACATTAATATTTTAAAACCCTTCTCTTAATTACAAACGGCAGCTTACGTCTAAGTGTATTTGTGAAATTTGTATTTTAAATTTTTTTCCCAATAAGTGTATATGTTCTGGTTTGTAAAATCAAATTTTCTCAGTACAAATGTGATCTTAATACATGGTGGGCAAGTGAAAAAATAAAAACTAATTTTTTTAAAATCTTTTACAGGCATTAATAAATGCCCTGTCAGTTGTGAAAAATATGAATTTGGAAGACGCAGAAACTATATTTTATAGCATCCAGGTAGACGACAAAGCGCGAGCGGATAATGACAGATTAGAAAGTGTGTGACGTCCCTCTCCCCCATCAAGGGTGCTTTCTTCTGAGGATTTTTATTCTTATTAACCCTTGTAACAACCATTTACAAGTGTTTCTTTTTCTTTTTTTTTTGTTCTTTTTACTTATGTGTCATTCAGTGTTTTGAGTGTCTCTCACATGTTTGTAAATTGTTCCATTCACATATTAGTGTAACTTGTGGTGACTAATTTTAGCTAGCATTTTTTTTTTTTTTTTCATCATTGGACGTTTACATCACAATCCATTACAGGGTGCCCGAAAAATAAGGGAAAATGTCTCGAGAAATTTGCGTCCGATCAAAAATCTAAAACGTGCAAGTTAAATATTTTCAAAAAGATGAATTTAATTCCACTTGCCACCCTCCTCAGTAGTAGAAATTAAAAAAATTCTGTAACTATTACTTGTCTGCATATTTTCACTGGTTCATTTACAAGTTTCTATTGGGTTTTGTTTTGTTTTTTAAAAAAAAATTAAAATACAAAGAATATGTATTATACACGGTTATCCTGAAATATACTATCCTGCGGGGGGGAAAAGAAAGTCAAAAATCCAAAACATATGTTCCTTTTATATTCTTTGCTAGTCCTCTGACAATATTTTTTGTCATGGACCTAATCAAATTTTTTTAACTAAGGGACCAATGTTGTTTTCTAGCCCTGCTACTTTACCTCTTAAATTGGGATAAGGGCAATTTTAAATGGGAATCCCTATTTATTTTTTTATTGCAGTTTTGGATTCCTCAGAAAAAATAATAAACAATTTGTCCTACAGATATTTGCATTTGAATTCACGGATAGCTCTATAATCACCAAATGAATATGTGTTAGTGTTGTTTAAAATTGAGGGTAAATTGATTGTTTAAAATTAAAAAATTTTGAAATGCATGTCCATACCTGCCAAGTCTTGTGTTTTTTAATGAAGACTTCTGTATTTTACAACTATTTCCTGTTTGCCTGTATATTCTCAGTTTTCTCCGTATTTGTTAAAGAAGGTTTTTTTTATTTTAAAAAAACGAATTTTGGCGATAAAATAACCGCAAATGGCAAAAATACTTCTCTTATGTGGCAATTAGTGCTGCAGTATGCTGAGTGTTTATAGTTTAAGTAATTATAAATAATTGTTTAAAAAAATCTTCTTTAGATTAAGATTTACATAAATACTTTTTACTTCGCTAAATATAAGTGCTTGCATTATTTTAAATTTTGACTTACATAATTATGCATGATGTATCAAAACTTTACGCGTAGCCCAAAAAATGTCGTTAGTAAAATCTCCTTTATTTTATTTCTCCAATGATGGCAGGTATGCATGTCGTAGTAAAAATATAATAATAACACTAATCTAATGACACCAATGTCAAACCCATTCTACGCTGAGGCAAGGATAACTCACTGGGGAGGTGGTCAAGAAGTTTGGTATTGTTGAATACATCTTTTGGTGTTATTTCACAATTCCCATTCTCTCTCTCTCTCTCTCTTTTTTTGTTTTTTGCATGAATAAATATGTATATTCCTGAGATATTTGTCTGGTTTTATACTTTTTGGGCACCCTGTATGTCATTTTTTAAAGGAGTAGAATTTGATTGCTTGGATATATTTTTTAACATCATCATCTCTTAGCTTGAGTTATTTCATTGCGAAAGTCTATTTCGCAGTATTATTTCATGTTTGGTATAGAGTTTTACAGCTTTGTTAATGAGATTTGTAATACTTTGCTCTAAGTTTATCATTGTTTGCTTTTGTGTCTATTTTTTTAAAAAAAAAAAACATACTGTGCATCATTTTGTTTATGTTTGACAATTACATTATTTGTATATACCCAAATCATTTAAGAACTTTTATTGATATAAAAACATTGAGAAATCATCTTTTAAATGCTGTTTATATGTGCGTATTTTATAGTGTTCATGCATAAAATTTTAAATACTCTTTATAGTATAATTCAATGGGAATTGAATTTATGTTGTTTCTTTTAGTAAGGTTTTGAAGTTAAGTGAATAAAAAAAACATTTCAATTTAATATAACAGAGGATATGTGGTGAGCTCATATGCTATTCATACCATCATATTAACATCATTTATTGATAGATCTATATCATCAACTATATTTCAAGCTATGGAGATATAACTTCTGTTTTTCCACCCTTTATAAACTGCAGTAGATAAGTTTTAGTGCTCTCTGAAGAATTAGAATTCCACAAATATTTTAATTTCCTTATTAGTAATCTAATGTAAGGGGCCATTCAAATATTACGTAAGTATATTCATTGTACTTATTTTCAAATATTCTCGTGTCCCCTTGTTAGCAAAAATAAGCAGTTCACTAACTGCCATCCCATTCTTTAATAAGACAGGATGCATAGCGTTTTTAAAAAGTGCTTAAAGGTGCTTATTTTTGTTTTTTAAAAGCCCTTGCAAGTGCTTTTTTCATTGCATATTTTTAAAAAGTGCTTATTGTTCTATTCAACGTTTTCACAATTAATTCCAACCTCGATCTATTTCGGCTTATTGTCAGTCCATAGGGTATGAAAACGCCATCGTTTTACATAATTAAAAATTTCATGGTTTTTGACAATCGTTAAAAACAATGCCATTTTTTTTTTTCATATGCCAGTTGAAACAAGATAAAACCGTCAATTGCGCTCCCGTGCCATAGGTCCTGAGTTCGATCCTCGGGCCGGGCAAGATTGACTCAGCCTTTCATTCCTTCAGTGGGTCGATAAATGAGTACCAAGCATGTTTGGGAGCTAAAACACTGAGGGTTCCGCTTTTGGCTGACCACCTGACCAGAGCATCTGCTCCTGCAGCCCAAGATCAAGAAAACTGAAATGGGCACAGTAGGCCTTGGCCCTGTATGGGCTGTCGCGCCACTGAGTTTAGTTAAGTTTTGTAGTTTAAAACCGTAAATTGTCAAAAACTTTCCAACCCTGCCTAATTATATTTTTTTAAGTGCTTAAAAATATTTTTTGAGCGCTTGAAAAGTGCTTAAAAGGTGCTTATTTTTTGTTGAATAATTTGGCTACGCACCCTGTAAGAAAGATTACAACATTCTTCCCCTCCTGGTCCCTTGCTCAATTAAATTTTTGAATCTTATTGGTACTTGCCTTTCCATAATTAATATTTTTATCATTGCTAATGCACTGGATTTAAATTGTTTCTTCTGTTTTTGTTTTTAAAAATGTTCTTATGTTGATTACGTACTATTTAATTTTGATTATACATAGATTATTTATATTTTTTTTCCACAACTTCTTATTTATAAAAAAAAAATGCTTTATTTACATATCTACTAAATTCCCTTTGTGCTACTTTCTTTTTAATCACATTTCTGGTTTTGACAATATATGGCAATTAAATACATTTAGAGTTCACATAATTTAAATCACCTGATTTTTTTTGTAATAAAAATAAATTATAAATGTTTACTGAAGTTTGAGATTTTATTTGTAATTCTAATTTACTTTTTATTAAGTTAATTTTATTAATTTTCCTTTAAAAAAATTCTAGAAAAGTATGGAATAATTTTTTTTTTTTGTATGAATCCTGGTGAACTTTTGAAACTATTGGACGACATTTTTTTCTTTTCCTGAATTTTATTCCTAATTTAAAAAATTTTGCTTGCATTTTTTTTTTTATTTACTTGTTTTTATTTCACCTTTAAATAAAATTTGTAAATGGAACAGTTTTAATGTCTTAAGTAAGCATTGCTTATGCCTCTCCTCCCTCCTTCTCAGGAAAAATTAGCCAATTACAGATTCCCCCATGCCGTAAAGTGTGTGCGTAATATTTAAATGGCTCCTCAAATCAAAATTTTAAAGTATAAGTTATTTTGGATAGTCCTCTTAACATATCCTTTTTAAAATAAATGGCATTGCTTACAATCTGATACATAATGTTAATTCGAAAAAGTAGTAATTGCTGTCAAACTCCGTTATCTGCTTCTTGGTTCAAATTTTTTCCTGACAACTTTGTTAAAATTAATTTTTCAACATTACACAAGCCATTTTTTTTTAAAAAAAAATTTCCCTTAGATCCTGTTAAATCAGAGTTCATAATAAACTTTTTTGTCTGTATTAGTTCATTTCGAATATTGAAATATAGTTAAAGAATAAAAGATAAAGAAGCTGAAAAAAACCTTCTATTACTATTTTCTGCAGGCAGGATTCAAGTTTGAGATCTTTTTTCTAAGAAGGTACTTTGTTGGCAATTCTTTTACTGTTCATGCTTTTAAAACTAAGTTTTGTTTATGAACTTTATTATTAATATTTTAAGGTAAGTTAAGGATTTTTTTTAAATCATTTTTATTTATTTATATTGCTTAGAGTATCAAATCAAAAAAATAAGGTTGCAATTTTTCCCCACTAATGAAATCTTTAAAATTTGAGACCCAAAGTTTTCACAAAAAATTTGACTTACTATGTTAGCAATTCTTTTAAATGTGGATACTTAAAAAAACTGAAGATAAGTTAAGAAAAATGTACTTATTGTCTGCCATTTTATAATTATTTTTGCTTTATTTCTAAAGTAAGGAAATAATTTTGCACCACTACTTTAATTTTAAACATAATTGAATAATGTAATGTTTTAGTTTTATGAAATTTAATTATTTTACTAAATTTAGAATTTAATGAAAGATTTTATTAATTATTTTATGCCACTAGTATTTCAAATAAAACTAATTGATTTATCAAATTATCTTTTTCTATTTATAATTTTCTTTTTCCCTGTATCATTTGTATGTTTTGACTTTATGTTGATTTATAATACCTTAATATAATTTGGCTTTATGACTTGAGTAAAATATTAAATGCTCAAAATATTATATTTTATGTGCAATACATTTGAAATTCAATTTTGTTGCTGCTTTAAAATGTAGGTCAACTTATGTGTATATATTTTAATTTGATATTTTAAATGTTCTTTTTGTTTCTCATTTTATTACTTTTTAAATTCATTATATTTAGTAACATTACATGGAAATGTTTAATTCTCTAATTATAAATTCCTTTTTTAAAAACACGAGCATCAGATTTGAGTACATATTATATTAATCTAAAAATAAATTTTTAAAAAATATTCAAAATTATGCTAGATTCCAAATCTTAAATGATCTTTACTACATACATCATGCTTGGATATGAGTGTTAAACAAAATTGTTTTTAAAAAGCGCAAATATTTTTTGTTCTGAAATATAGTTAAAATATTTGGTGTGTATAAATATACTTTTATATTACTTATTTAATTGCTCATTAAAAATTGTACTTAACTCTAAAACCCTCAAAGCTTTATGGTTTTGGAGAAAATTGTATATAATTTCCCCTTCATTTCTTTCTAATTGAAGAACATGGGAAATACTGGGTTTTTTTGTGTCGTGGAGTTTGGCAAGAAATGCAAATTAGTGCTCAAAGAATTAATCGAAAGTTATTTTCAATATTTATCACTAATGATCATGACCCCCATTTTAACATGAAACTGTACAAATTCATTTTGGCCAAAAAAGAAAATTAAAAGAAAGGTTGCAAAAAAATCTTTTTTTTCTTTCTTTCATTTTGTTTTAAAACAGTTCTAAAAATTGTTATAATTCACTCCCATGTTTGAATTCTTATTCATTTCTACCGGAAACTTTTTTTTTTTTTTGTCTCCTAAATTTTAGAATGTTTTATCATGTTCTATATACAGGGTATCCGCACACCTGGAAAGTCATGAAAAATCACGGAAAGTCATGGATTTCGGCATTGAACAAAATTTGTCCTGAAATGTCATGATTTTAACTATTTTTTTAAAAAAATATCATGGATTTAGGTCACCGAAAAATCTCATTTTTAAAATGGAATTCCCCCCTTCGCCATTTCACAGTGTTCCGATGTTCCAAATATCGGAATCTGTAGCGAATTCCCCACTCATAGTCATATTTTATTAAAATAAAAAAAAATTTTATCCTGTTATTTGAAAATTATGGTCTTCTTTCAAAAACTGAAAAAAAAGAACATCATATCTAGATCTTATCTTTTAAACTTCTGTGATTTCAGAATTTTTTATTTATTTATCATTCATTTTATCAATTTAAAATTCTAGTTTAGAATGTAGCAGATACCCTGTATATATAATGGTTTGGTTTTACTAAATAATTTATATTTATTAAATTGAACCTAATTCTATAAATGACAAAAAAAAATGTTCTTATTTTAAAAAATATTTTTATTATAAATATTTTTAAAAATTAAATTAGTGCTTTGTAAAAAATATTCATTTTATATTACTTGCTATTACTTTTTATTTTTTAATAAATGTGAGATTTGTAAAGTTATTTTAATATACCTATTTCAATCCTAGTGCATTTAAAATTGTATATTAAAAATGCGGTTTAGGTTATAAAAATTGTCTGCAAAATAGATAATTTTTATTATATTAAGATATTCCTAAAAACTGTGGGAAAATTGCAATTATATATTTATTTTGTCTGTATATTTTTTATGTTATATTTTGTGGATTCTCTTCTGAAACTTCAACAATTGTTATTGAAATATTTCATACCAAATTGTCTTAATTAATGAATCATAACCTTTTTCTTGTATGTCTTATATATCATTGTTTGTTAATGTTGAAAGAATCTTCATTGTTTATATCGTAAAGTGTGTTTAGTTGATGAAGTGCATCAACTTGAAGAAGAGAAAAAAAATCACCCATTTTATTTATCTTGTGCCGAT